TTCTGTAAAAAAAATTTAGAGGAGGTCTCCAGAAAATCGCGTTTTAATGGGCGTCTTCGTAAGCACATTAACGTATTAAGTTAAACTGGTGCTAAAGGATTTGTATAAGCCTCGGCTTCTTTCTGAAAACATAATTCTGTCTTTATGTAGGCTATGTATCTATTTATTGTAAATCGTTATAAATATATATTGTTTAAACCAAGTGAAATGCTATCTATTCTCTACATTCCAGAAAAAACAAAACCTACACAAAAGGCTAGCATGAGAGTACTTATATACAAGGGTCTTTCCATTTATTCTAAACAAGTATAATAATATTACTTACTGGCCCTCATGTACCATCATAAGATCACCCTTCTTAAACGGTAAATCATCATCAGATATATTCTGATAATCATAAAGAGCTTTGTACCTTTTAAAGCCTATAATTACAATAAAAAAACTAGAGCCACACGTGGCACAGAGTGGGACTTTGCAAATGTATTGCAGAACAAATGTATCCTATGCGAGTTATGCCCCTTTCCCAAAATGTAAACAATTAGTAATTCAATCCGGATGTGCCACGCCGACCTCAACTTTTTTGTCATAGGTTAATTCAAATTCAAATTGTCTTGTTGTGTTCCAAGTTTCAATGTTCTACATAAAATAGGTCATAAGATATATACACACCAAGCTCAAAGAAACAGAAATATTGTAAAAAAAACTCAAATTTGAAAAATTCACGAATTTCAATTTTGCTTTAAAAAACGATTGTTATAAATCACTTGAAAGAGCATGAAAAGCACATTAAGAATCCGAAAAAATTAACCCTCTAGGTTAATTAGGTCACGTGCTAGAGTAGTCCAAAGTGGCGAATTTGGCTGTTTTCGGACAGCTATAAAACCGGAACTACATGTCGGAGGTCAAATGTCAAAGTATTAACTGATAGCTAAGGTCATTGACCTTTGACCTTATGAAGGTCAAGGTCATCAAAGTTTAAGATCACGAGATATGACCCTTCAAACTTTGAAAAAATTCAACCGGATGTTGCAAAAAAGCAAAATTGAGAATCGAAAAACGGCTTCCTAATGTCATGTTTTTTTTTTATCTTCTTTCATTTGACACCAAAATCATTTAAATCGGATGAGCCATTATGTCCGAATAAAAATCGAATCATTTCAGAAAAATCAAAATGGCGGCCAAAGTTTCACTTCTGTTCCGGATTTTTTTTTCTTCGTTTTTTTGTCATAACTTTGTCTACCTATCAGCATAAAATTTTTTGTCTTATACAAATTACACCGGAAGATATC